AAAATAGAAGAAAAAGAATAGAAAGAAATACTTAAAGAACTTAAAGTGAATATAGTTTTAGGAATATCAGGCATAAGTTATATATTAATAAAACATGCTGATAAAAGATTACAAAGAATTTTTAGAGCCTTTGCGAATCTAATTTTAGAAAAAGAAGACATACTAAAGAAGTAGAAAATTATGCAAATATATTTAATCCCAAAAGATGTAGACTGGAATTATTATTTAAACAATATTAGGCCAATAGTATTGATTAAGACCTTTAGAAAAATTGTCATGAAGGTAGTAACAAAAAGATTAGCCAGAATGTTCACAGAAAGAAATATACTTAAAGGACCAAATTATGCAAATCTGTTAGATAATTCAACAGAATAGCCAATACATATACTAAACATGATAATGAAGAAGGCACAAGAAAAGAACAAAGAAATATGGATATTGTTATAAGATATAAAAAAGGCATTTAACTCAGTTCTACTAAAAAGCCTAGAATGGGCTTTAAAAAGAGTCAAAATTCCACAACAAACAAGAAAATACATAAGCAATCTGTTTTGTAAATGACAACTCAAAGTTATTACAACTTATAGTTTAATAGAAAAAATAATAGCAGGAGATGGAATAGACAAAGGAAAAGTAATTTCATCACTAATTTGACATCTTTTCTATGATCTATTATTAGAAAGAATACAATATGATGAAACACTAGGCTATACAGTAGAACAAAAAATAATAGAAAGAGTATGCAGTGATAATATTACAAGTTATAGGCAAGTAGCAATTATATATGCTGATAACACAACATGGATTATGAATAGCAAAGAACAAATGTTAAAAATTCTAAGCATTGCAAAAGAGTTCTTTAAAGCAAATAATATCAAAATAAATAGATCCAAATCAAAGCTCATAGTAATAAATACAAGAATGAAAGAAGAAAAAAGAGAAATCATATTCAGGCATAGTAAAATAAGAGAAAAACCCAAAACCAAAATTGTAAGGTCATTAGAAATCTGGCTAAATAGCAAAATAAAAGAAGCACTAGTCTGTAAAAAAACAAAAGAAATAGTTAGCCATACAGTTAAAGATCTGAGATACAAAAAGATGACAATGAGCCAAATAGTATACATAAACAATACAGTAATAATTTCTAAGCTAGGATATCTCTTATAGCTAACAAAAATATCAGAAAAAATGATTAACAAAATATATCAACCACTAATATGTTTAGCTAAGCATAAATGCAATATGATGAGAACATCAAATAATTGCACAATTGAACACAAAGACCTAGAAATTTGCAAAACACTAAGCCAAGAAATAATGATAAAACAAATAAACAGTCTTTTTTTAAGACTCAACAAACAAGATAGTGTAGATGAATTAATAAGATTTAGAATAGCTCAAGGATATTAGAAAGCAGGCCTAATAGGTGATATTTGGGACAATAAAAAGAAAATAGAAGTCAAGAAATTTTGGAAGAACAACATAATCTGTTAAACAATAACTAAAGCAAAAAAAATAGAAATAAACATTAAATCAGAAAAACCTCTATGGAAAGTTTATAGACATAATAAACAGATAAGAAACATGTTGGAAACAAAAACATGAATAGTAAGTAGCAATACAATAAATAAATGGGGGTTAGTATATCTGAACCAACTTATAAATACAAAAGGTGACAACCTGATTACATAGAGACAGCTCAAGAGTCTTTAAGGTTTGTCATATAAAGAAAAGAAAGCTAAATGGTTTAGTAAAATAGAAGAAAAGATATTGAAAATACAAATAAACAGAGAAATATAAGATTACTACAAAGTAAGAAGTTACAATACATAAGCATTAAAAATTAAGTAGAAAAAAATGTCTGAAGACTGAAGAAAAAAAAATAGATTATTTATAGACTGAATACAACTAGCAATTAGGCACAATAATTAAGAAGAAAAAGAAAAAAATGCTAGCAGAATATTGGTTAATATATATAGAAGAAGGGAAGATAGTAACAGAATTAAGTATATGCAAAGATTGTGAAAACAGTTCAAAACAGGAACAGATAAGTGTGAAAGATGAATAAGATGAGACCACAACATAAAAGTCATACCAGAGTTGCTAATAGAAAAAATAATCAATAGAATAAATGCAATGTTAGAGCAGATTTTAAAAGATAGAATAATAGAAAAATAGAAAAAAGATAAAATAAAGCTACTAGGAATAAGACAAACAGAAGAATTAGAAGTAGAACTGATTAGAAAACAAGAACTAAATAATATAATTACAAATCAGTTAGTAGAAATATTAACATGAAACAAGAAGAGAGACAAAAGAAAATATAGTTTTTATCTTGATGGAGCATTATATAAGAAGAAGAAAGAAAACAGTACAGAAAAAATAGGTATCAGTTGAATACAAATAGAAGAGAAAGAAGATTGGCCAGAAGAAGAAATTGCATTAAGACTTGAAAATTAGTCCTTGACAACAATTACAAAATTAGTAGCAATTTGGACAACAATTCTGATGATGCCAGAAAAGAAAAGTGTAGAAGTGTTTACAGACAGTATAGCAGCATTAAGAAACATTAATAGAGCATTTCAAAATGTAAAAGAGAAAAAAATCCTGAAGAAAAAAAATGCAATGTAGATAATGAGCATTGTAGGTCTAATCAAGAGCAAGAATATTAAGATAAAAATAACTAATATTAAATATTATAGTGAAAATAAGTAGAATAACAGAGCAAACTCTCTTACAAAAAAAGAAGCAAATTGTTGAGATAAAATATATATAAATAAAGTCAAATATAATAAGATAAAGTACCAATTAGAGTGAGAAAACAAGAAAATTGATCTACTGGCAAGACTTCTGTATAAAATAATAACAAATGCCAGAATAGAAGTCAGTTAGAGAGAGACAAACCCAATACGAACTTTGGAATCAGAAATAGAAAATACATTACATAATTGGTCAAGTTTTTAAAAAGAAATAAATAAAGCAAAAGGAGTTTATTGTATGTTAAGAAAACTCAGCACAAGAAGAACTATAGCAATCAAGTGCATAATGGATAGCCTATCAACACTTGAGGACCTAAACAGAAGAAGATCAGGAGTGTACACAACAGCAGAGTGCCAAATATACCAAGTTGAAGAAAAAGAGACTCAGGTATATTTAGTAAGTTGTAGCAGACAAAAAAGTCTGTGAAAACAGATCCAAAACGTAATAACAACAGTATGAAATGAATTCAAGGAAGATAAAAAAAACAGAATTCTATTATAAGTTTTATATAAGACATTATTCAGAGAAATAAAAGCTAAAGAAATCACAAACAGAAAAGTGCTAATAAAAGAACTCATAATGTTAAAAATAGAAAAAAGACTTGAGCAATTATTAAGCCAGCAGGTAACACAGAAGTGCATAAATATAGTAACAAGAACAGTATGGAACACCTTCTATGACCAAGTATAGAGGATACGATGTAAAAAAATACAAGCCTGGAAGAAGAAAATCAATATAACAAATAAAATAAAAAAAGGTACTCATGTAAGAAAGAAAACAAAGAAAAGGATAAAGAAAGATAAACAAGCAGAAGAAGAAGAAAAAAAAAACCAGAAAAAGGTGAACAAATGAAAAAAAAAGCTTTGAAGACAATAAATTTGCTTGTCACAGAAGGGAGAAGACCCTTCTGGTATGACTTTAAGTAGTTAGATGAGCAGTTTATCTTTAACTAAGATAGTGTGACAGGTTGCACATAGGTATCATTAGAGTGACCGAGTGATGCTAGACTTAGATATTGGGAAATTCTATGTAATTGTATAGATATATAGTTTTAAGAATCTTAATAAAGTACTAGCATAACTGCTTAAGGTTAAAAAAAAAAAATTATATTGTTAAAAATTTGTTTCTTTATTTGATCTTTCTAAATAAGTTTCTGTTTTTTTAATTTTTTGAATTTATATAATCACAAGAATTGATTTTAAGTTTACATTACTTAATACCAATTTGCATTCTTTTGTGTAATTGAAATTTTTATAACCTGCTAGTTATGCCAATGAAATCATAATTATAGGTATCTTGTTCAACTAATCAATAGAAAATAGTTATTGTAACATAAATATTTTTTTAAAATTTTATTTTTGATGAGTTTTAAACTTACAACTTGTTACTTAAAAAGATGACAACTTATCTATTACACTAAATTACTACACCCTTATTATTACACAATTTGATTGATCAATTGATCAATTAAATTATAAGATGATTAATTAACCTCAATGAATATTTACTATGCTAAACAAACTATATAACAAAATCAAAATAAATAGTCTTTTAAAAGTAAAAGATCTTTTAAAAAGTTTGATCACAAACTTAATTCTAGTTTTTAATAAAACTAAAAAATGGTTTCAAACCCAATTTAGACCACATGATTTTGATAAAACAACAATAAGTAAAAAAGTAAATCAAATTCTACAATTCTAAAAAAGAAATAAAACTATCATAATAACCAACTAGATAAAGAAATCTTAAAAAAAGATCACAAATAAACTTTTAAGCATGATACTATTAACATGCCATATAGTGGCATGCCACAAAATCAAAATAGTTAATAAATAAAAAACTTAGTACAAAGTGGCACGGGCATTCCAAATAAATTTATGTGTGCCTGGAACCCTAGTGCTGAGGAGTTACGAAGATCAGTATAGTACAATACGACTGACCAGATCAGTATAGTGCAGGCCGAATTTTAAAGTCGTAAACATTCTACACAATTACTTAAATTTAAAAAATACATGAACAATAGAACGGTTTTTATTAATAGTAAACAATAATTGCAATAGTAATTTTACAATTGATCAACAATAATATATAAAAGTTCCAACAATATTTTAAATAACTAATTACCTTGACTAAACATAATAGAATTGAGAACGTACTAATAAACATATAATTGTATCAAACAATATTTACATAGCAACAAAAGTTTTCCAAGTACATTAACCATTAATTTAACTGATCTCTCAATTTGCACCAAAAGTATCTATTAGCAACTGTCTTTGTGAATGAAATTGTTGTTCATTGGCATTTTTTGGTAATAAAAATTGTACAGTTTTTGTTTCTTCTTCTTTATCAGCTTTACGCTTTGGTATCCGTGAATTTTCCATCATAAATCCTTTTATACATTTTAGCACAACTTCACCTCTTCGACATAAAACATTTTCTGGAGCAGATGGGTCCGAAAAACAATCTACATTTGATGGAAGTAATAAGAGCGGTAGTGAAATGCACGAAATATCAAAGCGGCTTACTGTTCGTAATATATTACGTAAGCCGATCGTTACTCTTGAGTTGCAAGATAATTCTGATTTTGTTATTGCTTATTGAAGTAATAATTTAAAGATTATTTATGTAATCGATTTAGGAAGATGAGATTAAACAAATAATATTATAAAATGTAAGCTTACATTCAAAGTCTATAACCAAATGGAATGCCACATGAACTAAAGGTAGGTTTGAATGTTTTGTGATAAAAAAGTCACCTAATTTTTATGAAATTATTTATTCGTATTATTTATTATTAATTTAAATATAAATCATAAACAAAATAAGTAACATGTTTTTACCTTCTTTAATAGCAATTACACCATTATCCTCAACTGGAATATCTTTTTCAATGGCCTCAAATTGTGTTTCAACATTGTCAAAATGAAATTCAGTAGATTCTTTACATCTTTTAAAAAATGCTGTTAATATAAATTTATTATAATTGTTATTACTTATTGGTATTATGAATTGTTAATTACAACCATGGAAATTCTGAATTGCATTAACTGTACCTTTATTAGCACTTTGACCAAATTTATATTTTGGCCAATCTTTTGGCGTCAATAATAAAACAATTGCCGTCAAATCTTGCGAATACAAACTAGCAGCAGTTTGTGCCCTATATGCAGTATCACGTGCCTCGTCATTGGAAGACTTAAGCATATCATCAATATCGGATGCCAAAAGACGAAGGTTATGTGTCGATTTCACTTGATTACCAAGTGAAATTGTAAATGATTCTACAAGTTGATGTTCATCATCAAATTGCATTATCGGACCATGTCTCTGAAGAGTTCTTTATTATTAATAATAAAGAGGAATAATTCAAATATAATTAATAAAGAGGAATAATTCAAATATAATTAATAAAGAAATATAATTAATAAAGAGGAATAATTCAAATATAATTAATAAAGAAATATAATAAATAAAGAGGAATAATTCAAATATAATTTGAGCATACATACTCATCATCTTCAAGACCAAAATTTTCCATAGCCTTTCCTAGCCATCCACTAAATTTTCTCATTGAAGAGTTATTTTGGGTTGTTGGTATGCCATTCTTTTGTTGTAAAAATGATATTGGAGACCATACGGTTTTCCTCTCTTGCTTTGTAAGCACAGATAAGACTAATGGTTTGCTATTAGACTTTGAACGCCTGTGTGGAACTGGTGTTTCTTTTGTAGCTGGAATCATGGGAACGGAAGGGCGACGTTGTGCTATTTGTGCGTCAACTCTGCTTGCTTGGTCAAGAAGAAGTGCAATAGCATTTTCCTAGGGAAAAATTTATAAACGCTTTAGAATTCATTTTATTTCAAATAAATATCATGATAAAATAATTAAGTCTGTACCATATGTCCATTAGTCATCTCGAGTGCGACTTTAGCTTGTTCACTGGTAAAACCCATTTCTCTTATCTGCGAAACGATAGGATCATCCTCTGGCTGTTTCAATAAAAATATAAAAAGATATGATAACTAATATTAATACATGTAATCTTTTTTTTTTTTTTATGTTGGGAAATCTAGTGCGTACTGTAAAAAATGCCGATTTCTTTTCATCAGAAGGACTTGAAAACATAGAAGATTGCGAAGTTATCAATCCTGACGATAACATCATTTCAGACATCGAACTAACGCTTCCAGGACGACTACCAGGACGACTGCCAGGACGACTATGTGTCTGGTTCCCTTGTACAATCTTTAAAAGCTCTTTAGACACTTTTTTTTTATTCTTTTTCATATCGGCTATAACTACTGATGCTATCTCTTTTCCATCCAGCCGAGGCACACTTGTTGGGTCAGTGCATGACAATTGTTCTGCCATACGCCGTTGATGTTCTTCATAAAGCTTGAGTACAACATCACAATATTCATTTTTTTGATTTCGTTGCATTTCTTCAAGCTCACTCTCCCATGCTGCTTGATTAAATTCAGATTCCTAAACAGAAGAAAAAGGATGAGATATGCAATTTGATTTAATTTGAAATGGTTAACACAATAGATATAATTTACCTCGACTTGCATTTCAATTAATTTTTTAAACCCAGCATTAGCTGAACCAGCTTCAACAGCGTATTCTAACTCTTTTTGACGACTTCAGAAAGGAAATAAATAATCAAAACATTGGCAAGCATTGAAATAAAAATTAATATTTGGATACACACTTATCTCTCTCTTGTCGATGCCTTAGAGAGAGATATATATATATATTAATGATATATTACGAATATCACACAATATAAAATAAAGGAATTATTGTATATAATATTTAAATTCATACCTTTCGTCAGTTTCTGCCTTTGCTTTTTCACGTGATACCATCACTTCTTTGATTGAACTTTTATAATCTTGTTCCAACTGCGACAAGATATCAAACATAAAGGGGACTGGAGAATGAACTAAAGTATGAAAAGCTTTGGGGAAAGGATTCTATAAAAAAATAATGGCAATTAGCAAGACAATATAGACAAGTTATGATAACCATAAAGGTTGAATTACTTCTAAAGGACCGTCATTGAATCGAACTGTATGTTTTTGATATTTAGCAATAAGTTCCTTTTGAATTTGCTTTGCTCTAGATTCATCATTGACTACGTAAAATCAAAGAGTGTTATTAAAGAAATAAATTGGAAAATATAAAACTTTGAGGAAAAAAATTAGCATTACATACTTTTTGCATCCCTTTCCACATCTATTCGCCAACTCTCTTCCATCAACGATTCTATAACTGACATAATCGATACTTCCAAGTAACATGGTATATTGTTTTCATCCATAAAATTCCTGACTGTATCTATCAACAATTGACCTTCTTCCAAGTGAATTGTGAAAGAAGACGAATTGCCTGGTGATATTGTCAGATGAAGGTCTATCGAAAGATTTTTGATAACTTTGGTTGACATCATCTTTAATATTAAAGATTATATAAAATTATTTTGCTTATTTAATTAATGTAATGTAGACTTTGAAGATCGACTTTTCCTGATTGATAACTTTTAAATATTTGAATCGTTATCGCAACAAAAATATGTATATTTTTTTAGTAGCTTAATCTATAAATGAATAATTGATTATTGATCGAAACGATCAAAACGATCAAAACAAAGCTTACCCAATGAAGGAAAAGAATTTTTTATTTCAATTCACCACCAAAGAAACCTTAAACCAAATAAAGCGCATTCAAGTTAGTCAAATCTCATTATGCAAGGTATAAGCTGGATTGTTTATTATTGTTTATGCTATCTGATGATCAGCATAATACTTGTTAAAAAAAAGTGTACTGTACTAATATCGATATCGAATATATGCCAATCATCATTATACCCGAAAACTCATCCAGTTCTTACCATTCGTTACTAATAAGCAATTTACATAATTATATCGTTATATATTCAATATATTTTAACCTCCCTAATTAATATCATTTAATTTTATTTCGTTTCAAAGCTTCACACATACGTACGTACGTACCCACTATATATCGGATATATGTACGTACATACGTAACAATTCATTACTGAACAATTCATTAAATGTTATGCATGCAACCCCCATACAATCCGACGCCGGTAGAATTTGTGATTCCCTTCTAAAGTATTCAAAGTTAGCCTACTTACGTACTTTGGCAAATCTTGCTGCAGCCTTTACATACAATGCACGTACTTACATACGTAACATGAATGCTAATATATAAGTAAGAGAGTGCGAAACCTAATTAAATTACTTTCTGTAGAACTTGATGGTCAAAAAAAATCGAGATTAAGATTAAAGTTCTGGTGCTTGCTCTGAAATATTTATTGTTACTTATGTTACACAGGTTTAAAAGATCCTTATTGTAAGACAAGAAAGGAAATGATTACTATAATAACACGTGCATCTACATGATCCAATTATTTGATTCGTTAGCTTTTTTTTCTTGGGGTAATTACTTGAAAATGGAATTTGGCGTTTTCGCCACATAAAGATATATAGTCACGTGGTACAATTTATATCACGTGAAAGCAGCCATTTTTATCATGAATCAACCATAAAGGTCATTATGCATATGTAGAATACATACGTAGAAGTCAGAACCGGTCACAAATTCAAACCAATGCATATTTTTTTTAATCCGTTTAGACCCGATCCATTACATAAATCCTAGGAAAACTTATTAAAATTTATATAACGAAATTTAACCAATCTTCTATGTGATATTACGTAATTACCGGAATTAAACCAGAAAAATATAATAAAATTGAAACCGTTTATAAGTTAGGCAATGCAAAAAAAATTTATTGGTTTTCATACCCCGGCCGGGTCAAAAAATTTGAAAATCGAAATTTTTTTTTAAGGCGCAGTATATAAATAGCCAATAAAAATGCGCCATTTTTACTACCTGGTTTTACTAATTATATAGTTTACAGAAGAGACCGTTACACGATTGATCCTTCACTCGGTGTGCAATGCATAAAAAATTTATTTTACAATACCAGATCATCCGCTAGTACACGTTATGATTATAATCCAACACCATTTTTATTATAATAAAATGGTGTTGGATTATAATCATAACGTGTATTGGCGGAATGATCTGGTATTGTAAAATAAATTTTTTATGCATTGCACACCGAGTGAAGGATCAATCGCGTAACATCAACGGTATCCGCTGTTTATATAGTTATATATAGTTTAGTTCTATTCTTAAATTCTTTCACTACGATTATTATAGCCTTTGACGATCAGTGTTATCAATTTATCTTTTTTGTAGAATATTCAATGCAGGAATACATTCACAGGTCTAGGTAAAAAGCCAATAAAAATACGAAAACATTTATTGATATTTGTCTTGGTAAATATACATATTTTCATATTGTAGTATCTACGTAATACAATTCCATCTTATTTAAGTATTTTGCGTACATATAAAAAATGACAGATTTCAACGAAATTTTGGCTACACGAATGTGCCACATACTGTAAGATAGTCGCAAGATCTAACCATATGCAGTAAAAAAGTCAATACAATCTGGTTCACGCGTACACAAAAAAATTATTGAGTTCGAAGTTGTTTCTCTTTTTTTGTTGTGCCTAGGACCCACATAAAGTGCTTTTTCAGCAAAGCATTTTCATTACACTCAACACATAATGGTCATTCAGTCTTTGATGTTTTTGCTGCATTTTAGTCACCGCACAGGTAGCACTTTTCAGGAAAGATTCTGCAGAGTAATATGGTTTTTCAATTGGTGATGCACAACTTCAAGAATCATTTATAAAAACTTTTTGAAAAAGCTCATATAACAGATTATTTGTAGATTTTCTTTCAGAATCCTTAGGTTTTTTATTATTTGTATTCTTACTAGCTTCATCACTAACTTCACTCACTTCATCACTAACTTCACTCATTTCATCATCACTAATTTCATTACTGCTAACCTCATCACTACTAACATTTGCATTTTCTATGTACAAATAACTAGAACTAGCAATCACATTATTATTCTGTTGATTTTCATTTTGCATTTCAAGTTAAGAGTCTTTAACTTGCTGATCATTGCTATAATTATCATTTCATTGATCATGATTCTCAAAAGTATTGATGTCATATTTAGTAGATACGAGATTATGAGTATTATAAAATGATATTTTACATATATATAAGATTATATCAAGGAAAGACTCTAACAATTTATATTCCTTTATTAGTAATTTTTTGACACTAAATAATAGATATAATTTTTTACACTCATCACAAGTAACAATGATTTCAATATTCTTGACATGTATTGAAGAAGGACTGAATGGCATTGTATGTTTCACTACTATAGTAGTTTTTCCTTTACCTAATTTAATTTTTTGTAATTTAGTATTTTTAAATAAAGACTTATATTCTTCTGTTATAAAAATATTATACAATTCTTCAAATAATTTATAGTAAAGGTTTTTACCAGAAACTGGATCAGAGATGCAATGGAGTTGTTCAAACTCTTTACGTAAACATCATGGTGATAGGCAAATTGTATATGTTATGTTTTCACACTTCTTGATAGTAAAAAAATAATGTTTTGCTTTACAACAGTATTCCATAAATTTTTTCAATTGTGATTGTTAAAAAAAAAAAAATAAACTATTATTATTAATGATATTTTGTATGAAATCAGTATTTATTTTTCACTATGCAAAAATGTGACAGCATACAGAAATGTGCAGATGTCACACATAAAAATTATTTTATAAATAGTGCATACAGTTTTTGCTTTTTTTTTTTATTTATCTCACAGAAAAAGATTCAAATTATGCATTATCCACATAAGAAATTAATATTGAATGGACCTAAAGTTTAAAATTAATAAGTATATAAGAAATTTTTTTAAAAATTAATACACAATAGGCATATGAAAAGCAAAAAAGGATATTTTTTATAAAATATATTAGATATTACACAATTGGTATTTGTTTAGACTTTAAATACTGATATGAATTTTAAATATTTTACTTATACTTTTTATTAGATTATCTGCTGTGTGATTCTGCTGAGACATGTTTTTGTCAATTAGATGAATTGTTTTCTATAGATCCATAATTTTATTTTTAATAACTGCATCAAATATTTGAAAAGGTACTTCTTTTAATAATTGGCATTTAAAAATACTATGTACTAAATGAATTGGTTGCTGAACACTTTTAATAGGTGCCTCTTTTAAGGTAAGATCATTTTCTGCAATGCATTAGATCTTTTTTATTGTATTTACTTTATTTAATAATTTTTCTAATCAATCATTCATTTTACTTTATATTAAACCAACATACTAAAGTCTGAGATTCAAAATAGACATTATATATTCTATAGAATTTTTTTATGAATGCTGAGGTGGTGTTCTTATAGCAACAAAATAATCAAGATCTAAAGTCAGAAATAAGCATATATATGATAATTGTATATGTGTATAAGTACAATGATGGTCAGGACTACCATTCATATAAAGATACAATATGGGTTTATTAATAAGATTTTTTTCAAATAAAATATTATATAATTCAGTTATATGTCTTATTAGTAAGGAAGATTGAAAAATAGCATCCTTTAATCTAATATAAACTTCTTCTGCATAAAAACTTCTATTAATAGATTCTGAAATATCACATACTATTATAACATTTAGTATTATTCTTATTTTTGTATAGTTATGATTATCAACTATAAACATTAACTCTTTGCTAATGACAACTTGTTTTCTTCTTTCTACAGCTGTAACTAGATATCTTGGTTTACCAACTTTACACTTATGTTTGTTATCTAAAAATACTAATATTGTAATTTTATGAAACTTTATTGCAAACTCTTTTTCATATCAGAACAGTGCCAATGCATAATATGTGTCTGGATAATAAGCATGAAGTTGCCAAACTTGTACTATGAATTTTAAAAATAAATGTCTGGTATATTGTAGACTATTAAGTCTTGTCAGATCTTTAGGCCAGAATTGTAAATGAAGCCATTGTTTGCTTAGAATTGATATATTTGGTGAGTATTCTTTTTTAATTTGATGTAACAAGTCATTAACTGAAATTGCTATAGCTAGATAAATAATTATGTCATGCTAACATTCATCTACTGCAGTTACAAACTCTGTTGCTTTATCTGAAAAAAAGTTAGCTACAATGTCCCAAAAAGCTTTATACTTGCCTGGTCTTTCAGAATTGTACTTATGTAGATCTACTGTAATTTCTAGATCACCTAAATCAAGAACTAATCTAACTCATTTATTTATTTTTGCTTTATTTACAAACTCTAGTGCAGATGAATTACCTATTAATATATGATAAATTACACAAAGTGCAGCCAGTTTAGCTTTTGGTAAAAGTAAATCATATGTATATAAATAGTTTATTTTTATTGCATAAGTATGATAATAAGAAGCATTGGCTTGAAGTTCATTAATTATATGTGTATTTTTTTAAATCATTATAGTTTTATTAGCATTATGATTGATTTTTCAAATTGAAATTACATTAAATGCATTATTGCCAAAATTGAACCAATATTTACTGAAATTAAAAGTAAATGCATTAGGTAATTCTTGTATATAATATTTTCTTGAATTGTAAAGAAAAAGATTATTAATACTATATGACTATTAATAATTATCCATAGTGTGCTAACTAAAATACTATAAGGATCTAATATAAAATATTCAAAGAATTTACAAAATGCTTGAGATACAGTTGACTCTGGATATAATAAAGTTTTTATAATGAACTTACTCTATAATGAACTTTTTAAAAATTTTATTATAGAGTTTGATATAAAAACATAGCAATTTACTTCATAAGAAACTTCTAAAAATTTTTATTATTAAAGAACCATTAGTTTGTTATAAAAAGAGCTGACTATATTTTGTCAATAATAAATATATTGCATTAGACATATGAGTGCAATCAAGAGAAATCTGTAAAATATGTACTGATCAGACTTTTCAAAGATAAGTCTTGAAGTTCAAAATGAAATATAAATGAAAATTTGATAACAGGTTTTTTTCTGATTATGCTTATATATAATACAAAATTAATATGTAATAATATGAATACTCACATTATAAAAATACAATCAGTCAACTCTCCCTGCTGATCATCTAAACACAAAATCGACCAAATAGGAAAACTGATTTTACACAAAAGTGGCCTTCTAAA